AATGAAATAAAAGTGTCTTAATTCTAATGATAACATTCAGGGAAGTTTCAGGGAAGTTTGATGATTTCTGATTAATGCCAGATTCATAACTTATTCAATCTGTGAGAACATTTACAAAATTCAGAAAATATATTTTTCTCCATGATATTTTATCCCACATTGACAGACATCATTTGCATGATATGATTCAAGGAAATCAGTAAAAAACTTCTTGCACACAAGCTCCTCCCTCCCTCCCCATGATGTCCTGATGCAAATCCTCAGTGTGTGTAGTGTACTTGTGTCCTGCTGACTGGTCTTGTAGTTTGTGTGCAGCATCAGAGGTCACATCTCCAGACTCAGGATGATGAACACACTCACTCTTCTGCTGGTTGCTCTCTCTCTGTCCTGTGAGTTCTCCTGCTTCTTGATGTTTCATCCTTTATCAGACAGCAGTGACTGATGGTCAGTCGGTGATACTAGAAAACTTCCCAGATGACTGTCTCACTGTCTCTCTCCTTTCGTATCATTGGATACAGGAATTGGCTTCTCTTCTGCCAGTGGTAATGTTTATGCCAACAGTGTGAGAGGACGTGCAGAAATCAGTAGAGATGACAGCAACAGCATGGTGCATCTGAGACTGTCCAACTTGAAGCCAGAGGACTCTGCTGTGTATTACTGTGCCAAAGAAACACACTGGTTAAAGTGAGCAGAGAGGCTGTACAAAAACTCTCCAGAAATGTGTCACAGAGACCTGCAGGGGGCAGTAGAACATATTAATTGGGATAACAATAACCAAAAGAGCATGAAAAAGACACTTTGCTGTTGCAGTTTTTCACTTCCTTCTTATGTCTTTTTATTTCAACTATAATAGTAATTAATCTAATATTGATTTTGTAGAGCAGTTGTCAAATTAACCTCCAGGCTACGGGACATTCATGTGATCAGTTTTTTAGAATAATGCATTTGAATGTGTTTTCAGTGATTTTTCTGATTCTGGCTCTGAAGTTTTTGATATATTTTGATTATTTTATCCTTATTGTTTGTTATTTTATGCTTTTAAATGCAGTCAGGACAAGGGACAAATTGCACCACTTTTTGTATCCCCCCAAAGATCATGATAATAAAATGAAATTGAACTTGAATGTGACTAATTTCTTTTGAGTGTACGTTTATGCCTGATATATCCACAATGCAAACAAACACTGCTCAAAAAATCTAAACTTGGTATAAACGAACTTTAAAGCCTTAATAAAAGAACTGTGTTGTGTTGTGTTGTTTGGCATCTTGGGACAGTTCAAACAAGTTCTAAAAATATGGAACAAAGAAACTTTCTTTGGTTTGAGTTTAAGTTTTTTGTTTTACATTGCAGTTGTCAACTTGCATGTACAACTGCAAACCTCCAACTATCTCTAAACTCAAGACATCCACTCAAGACTCAAGTCCACCTCACCTCTCTCCTCCCTGTGAGGAGGAGTCAATGCAAAACTCAGATGTCTTCCACCTCTACTTATCTGACTGCAGAGAGGATGACAGAGAACAGTGGACACACAGTTTAACATGATGGACTATAGGACAGGACTGCTGCTTTTAACTCTCTGCTGGGCAGGTGAAGAGTTTGACTGATATTGAGTTGAATTTGTCTTCAAAAGTTTCTCAAGTTACATCAAATGACCGATGCTGTTTTGTCTTGACAGGTGTTGATGGTCAGACTCTGACAGAATCTGAACCAGTGGTTAAAAGACCTGGAGAATCCCACAGACTGACCTGTACAGGCTCTGGATTCACATTCAGTAGCTACTACATGGCCTGGATCAGACAGGCTCCTGGAAAAGGACTGGAGTGGATTGCCTTGCATAGCACTGGTAGCAGCAAATTCTACTCTCAGTCAGTCCAAGGCCGGTTTACCATCTCCAGAGACAACAGCAGACAGCAGGTGTATCTGCAGATGAACAGTCTGAAGACTGAAGATTCTGCTGTTTATTATTGTGCTGGAGACTCACAGTGACTGGAGTTGGTTGAACAGCTGTACAAAATCCTACAGCCTTCACCTTGTGAAGCATCATGTGCTTTTATATTTGGTACTTAAATGTTTGATTTTATATAATTTGTTTATGTCAACAATCTTATGTTTTATAGTATATATTCTGCTTACATATCTATTTTTGATAAATGAACAATGGTCGCTGTACTATACAAGTTCCTTAAAACTTTTCCTGAAAATATGTCTAAACATTAAACACATAAAAAACACAAAAAAGAGAATTTGTTCATGAAAGGATTAAAGACAGTACAACAATGTGGCTGCTGAAAACAAACAACAAATAAAATACATTTAATCAAATTAAGACATAATGATGTTTGGAAATGATGTAAAATAAATAGTATTTCATGAGAGTGAAAAATAACATTTCTCTATCAGTAATAAAATCACATGAAGGCAGTATGTGTCAAGTGTCTCTCTCCACTTGAACCCTGGACTGAGCTAAACCTTAATGCTCCTGCTGGTCTTCTGCACTGAAATGTTTAAACCATAAACAAAAGTCACGCGTTAACTTCATTTAATACATATTCAGTAGTAAAGTTTGACTACAAGGTGTTTACCATCAGCAGGGACTGCAGCTCCATCTGCCAGTGTCAGTTCATCCCAGCAGACAGTGAGTAGACCTCAACATGAAGAGCAGGAGGCCTGAAGGAGCTGCTGTGTATGCTCTCTGTGTGCTCATGAGACTGTGATTAAAGATGGAGAACAATTCATCCATGTAGTGAGAAACACCTCATAGGATTATTGGGCAAAAAATGGGTTGATAAACCCTGCACTGTCTCACATGATTAATATGAAGTCAGTGATTTCAACAAAGAAAGTACCTTTAATGAATTACGGGATTTAAACTTATATTTCACAATAAAACAATTCTGAAAAAGTTCCATATTACAAATCAACAGCTAAATAAAAAAATCACACGCAGTGGTTTCATTTAAAACATTTCCAAGAGAAGACAACAGTGATCTCCTAAGAGGGAGATGAGGGTCAACATTTACAAACAGACTGGACAAACCTGAATCCTATTTTGTGCAAGTTCTTTATAAAGAGAGGTTTTTCATCTTCAGTATAATAATATAGTGTTTAAAGAATCAATGTAGTGTTTTGGCTGCATAGTTATAATTCATGGTTGCTTACTTCTTTTTTCAGTGGGTGCGTATCATCATCATTATTTAAATTGCTGATTTCAACACATATGCTTTCATTTATCCATGATAATCAACAAGTCCTCTTACGGAAACAACAATATCTGTTGATTGTTCCTCCTTCAAAAAATGATTTTTAATTGTTGTTTGCAATTATATAAACATTTACATAATGTTTTAATATGGAATTGTTGTTAATACAAGATAGTTAGGCTTTAAGAATTTACAGGTAAAAGAAAGTTAGCTGTTTCTCCTCTGTAAATGCAGATGTAATTTCAAAATTTAGTGAGAAATGAAATGAAATGAGAATATGAATAGATAGTAGATGTAATGTAAAATAATTTTTTCACTCTGCAGATATAAAATCACTGAACAGACTCTTCTATTGGCTCCAGTTAGACCAACACTGACGCTTCATGTGTTTGATTCTATGCAAACTCAGTGACCTTCCTTGTTACTCAGCTATAAAAACTTCAGATCAGACTGTCAGTGGAGTTCACAGCTCGTCAGCTTCACCATAAACCATGTTTTCTGTAGCTCTGCTGCTGCTGTTGGCAGCTGGATCCTGTGAGTCTCTCTGGATTTGTCATAGTCAACATTTCTTCTCTTGCTGTAGAACTTGATCATTTATAACAAAACATTTTCTTTTTTAACAGGTGTGAAGTGTGAACAGTTGACACAGCCAGCCTCTGTGACTGTGCAGCCAGGTCAACGTCTCACCATCACCTGTCAGGTCTCTTATTCTATTAGCAGCTACTACACAGGTTGGATCAGACAGCCTGCAGGGAAAGGACTGGAGTGGATTGGAAGTGGACGTGTTGGGGGAAACAAATACTACAAAGATTCACTAAAGAACAAGTTCAGTATCGACTTAGACTCTTCCAGCAACAGAGTGACTCTAAATGGACAGAATGTGCAGCCTGAAGACACTGCTGTGTATTACTGTGCCAGAGACACACAATCACACAAACCATCAGTAGACCTGAACAAAAACCCCTCAGTGCCTGAATACTTGTAACATGAAGCCACCAGAGGAGGAGCCCTCAGACCACTAATGATTTCACACCAGTTCACAGTTGAAGAGAAAAACTGTCTTTGAATGTAATTTGCTCTGAAAAATTAGAAATGAAATAAAAGTGTCTTAATTCTAATGATAATATTCAGGGAAGTTTCAGGGAAGTTTGATGATTTCTGATTAATGCCAGATTCATAACTTATTCAATCTGTGAGAACATTTACAAAATTCAGAAAACACATTTTTCTCCATGATATTTTATCCCACATTGACAGACATCATTTGCATGATATGATTCAATGAAATCAGTAAAAAACTTCTTGCACACAAGCTCCTCCCTCCCCATGATGTCCTGATGCAAATCCTCAGTGTGTGTAGTGTACTTGTGTCCTGCTGACTGGTCTTGTAGTTTGTGTGCAGCATCAGAGGTCACATCTCCAGACTCAGGATGATGAACACACTCACTCTTCTGCTGGTTGCTCTCTCTCTGTCCTGTGAGTTCTCCTGCTTCTTGATGTTTCATCCTTTATCAGACAGCAGTGACTGATGGTCAGTCGGTGATACTAGAAAACTTCCCAGATGACTGTCTCACTGTCTCTCTCCTTTCGTATCATCAGGTTGTACAGGTCAGAGTATGGAGTCCATTTCTTCCAGTTCAGTAGTGAAGAGGCCTGGAGAGACTCTCAGTCTCTCCTGCAGAGGATCTGGCTTCACATTTACCTGTTGCACTATGAACTGGATCAGACAACCTGCAGGAAAAGCACTGGAGTGGATAGGAGTTGGCTTCTCTACTGCCAGTAGAAACACTTATGCCAGCAGTGTGAGAGGACGTGCAGAAATCAGTAGAGATGACAGCAACAGCATGGTGCATCTGAGACTGTCCAACTTGAAGCCAGAGGACTCTGCTGTGTATTACTGTGCCAAACACACACACTGGTTAAAGTGAGCAGAGAGGCTGTACAAAAACTCTCCAGAAATGTGTCACAGAGACCTGCAGGGGGCAGTAGAACATATTAATTGGGATTACAACAACCAAAAGAGCACGACAATGACAATAAATATGCACAGGAGCAGCTGTTGTTACAGTTTGTCACTTCCTGCTTACTTCTTTTTTTCTCAACAATAATAGTTACAAAACTTTTCAATAATTATTTTTTACAGGAGTTGTCCAATTAACCACCAGGCAACATGACATACATGTGATCAGCTTTTTAAAATGTTGAATTTTAACATTTTTTTAGTGTTTTTTCTAATTCTAAAGTTTTTGATTATCTTATCTTTGCTATTAATTATTTTATGCTTTCAAATGAAGTCAGGGCAATGGACAAATTGCACCACTTTTTGTATTCCTCCAAAAAACATCATCAAATAAATTTGATTTACTAAGTGGATTTTCTATTTCCCTCACTTTCGTATCAAAAGAGAAATTTAAATATTCAACAATATGCAAATGAAGGTTCCTCATAAGGAAGTGAAGTGTGTGTGTGTGTCAGTGAGAGGACAGAAGAGCTCACATCAGTTCAGCTTCAACATCAACCATGTTCTCTGTGGTTCTGATACAGCTGCTGGCAGCTGGATCCTGTGAGGAGCTTTCAGTGGATTCACACTAATAAACACATTAGAAACACTGAATAGTCAGATGAATGATGGAGATAATGTTGATTTCTGTTTCCACAGGTGTGTACAGTATTGATCTCATCCAGCCAGACTCAGTGGTTGTGCAGCCTGGACAGTCTTTGACCATCCTCTGTCAGGTCTCTGGTTATTCTCTAACTGACAGCAGCTATGCAACAGGTTGGATCAGACAGCGTGAAGGAAAACCAATGGACTGGATTTTCCATCAGTGGGGAGGAGGCGACTTTTATCAAAATGATGCTCTGAAGAACAAGTTCAGTTACAGCAGAGACACTTCTGCAAGAACAGTGACTATAAAAGGACAGAATGTGCAGCCTGAAGACACTGCTGTGTATTACTGTGTACGTCGCCCCACAGTGACACAAGCCACCAACAGACTGGCACAAATACCCAGCAACACATGACTGCTCCACACACATGGTGAGATTTGAATATATGAAAACATAAATAAATAAAGTAATGGGCAGTTTCTCCCTGAAGGTAGTTCAATTTAAAATGTATTTACTTCCCCTGGAAATTTCAATGTTATCATTTAAAATACTATTCATTAAAATACAGGTATTCTGTGCGCCCTTTTAAGACCTGCAGAGCCAGAACTAAGCAAACTCTTTCTTTATTACTAACAAACCATCAACATCCCTCATGTAATTTTTGTGACTGAAAAACTGGTTTTAAAAACTTTGACCCTGACAGAAACTTTAAAATTAATCTCAGAAACTTCACCCAACACCGCAATCTCAAAAGCAAAATCTTTTGTCTTCACCAGTGGACTAAATCTCTCTTATCCTTCACATGTTTTAAATTTTCAACGAAGTTCAGTCACAAAAATGTGTTGGTCATTTGAAAAGGTTCTGCTCATGTTAGCTTCTTCAGGCCTCCCATTTTTCAGAAATCATCAGTGCTGTATTGATGATATAATCCTTCTTGATTGATCTTAAATGTCAGTCGAGGATGTACTTTCATTTCATACAAATGGCCATTACAAAGACGACCAAGATATTCAATTTGAAATGCATCATAAAAGATTTGAATTTCACCGACTTGGAGATAAATTTAGTCATTAAACATTTGTTCTAGTTTCACCAGACGAGTTGACTTCAAAGTCCAATCCACCTCTCTCCTCCCTGTGAGGAGGAGTCAATGCAAAACTGAGATGTCTTCCACCTCTACTTATCTGACTGCAGAGAGGATGACAGAGAACAGTGGACACACAGTTTAACATGATGGACTATAGGACAGGACTGCTGCTTTTAACTCTCTGCTGGGCAGGTGAAGAGTTTCACCGATCATGATTTTAATTTGTCTTCAAAAGGATGTCACTTTATAGGAAATTACTGATTTCTTTTTTGTCTTGACAGGTGTTGATGGTCAGACTCTGACAGAATCTGAACCAGTGGTTAAAAGACCTGGAGAATCCCACAGACTGACCTGTACAGCCTCTGGATTCACATTCAGCAGCTACCGTATGAGCTGGGTCAGACAGGCTCCTGGAAAAGGACTGGAGTGGATTGCCTGGCATGGCACTGGTAGCAGCAAATACTACTCTCAATCAGTCCAAGGCCGGTTTACCATCTCCAGAGAGAACAGCAGACAGCAGCTGTATCTGCAGATGAACAGTCTGAAGACTGAAGATTCTGCTGTTTATTATTGTGCTCGAGACTCACAGTGACTGGAGTTGGTTGAACAGCTGTACAATATCCTACAGTCTTCACCTTGTGAAGCATCATGTGCTTTTATATTTGGTACTTAAATGTTTGATTTTATATAATTTGTTTATGTCAACAATCTTGTGTTTTATAGTATATATTCTGCTTACATATCTATTTTTGATAAATGAGCAATGGTCGCTGTACTATACAAGTTCCTTAAAACTTTTCCTGAAAATATGTCTAAACATTAAACACATAAAAAACACAAAAAAGAGAATTTGTTCATGAAAGGATTAAAGACAGTACAACAATGTGGCTGCTGAAAACAAACAACAAATAAAATACATTTAATCAAATTAAGACATAATGATGTTTGGAAATGATGTAAAATAAATAGTATTTCATGAGAGTGAAAAATAACATTTCTCTGTCAGTAATAAAATCACATGAAGGCAGTATGTGTCAAGTGTCTCTCTCCACTTGAACCCTGGACTGAGCTAAACCTTAATGCTCCTGCTGGTCTTCTGCACTGAAATGTTTAAACCATAAACAAAAGTCACGCGTTAACTTCATTTAACACATATTCAGCAGTAAAGTTTGACTACAAGGTGTTTACCATCAGCAGGGACTGCAGCTCCATCTGCCAGTGTCAGTTCATCCCAGCAGACAGTGAGTAGACCTCAACATGAAGAGCAGGAGGCCTGAAGGAGCTGCTGTGTATGCTCTCTGTGTGCTCATGAGACTGTGATTAAAGATGGAGAACAATTCATCCATGTAGTGAGAAACACCTCATAGGATTATTGGGCAAAAAATGGGTTGATAAACCCTGCACTGTCTCACATGATTAATATGAAGTCAGTGATTTCAACAAAGAAAGTACCTTTAATGAATTACGGGATTTAAACTTATATTTCACAATAAAACAATTCTGAAAAAGTTCCATATTACAAATCAACAGCTAAATAAAAAAATCACACGCAGTGGTTTCATTTAAAACATTTCCAAGAGAAGACAACAGTGATCTCCTAAGAGGGAGATGAGGGTCAACATTTACAAACAGACTGGACAAACCTGAATCCTATTTTGTGCAAGTTCTTTGTACAGAGAGGTTTTTCATCTTCAGTATAATAATATAGTGTTTAAAGAATCAATGTAGTGTTTCGGCTGCATAGTTATAATTCATGGTTGCTTACTTCTTTTTTCAGTGGGTGCGTATCATCATCATTATTTAAATTGCTGATTTCAACACATATGCTTTCATTTATCCATGATAATCAACAAGTCCTCTTACGGAAACAACAATATCTGTTGATTGTTCCTCCTTCAAAAAATGATTTTTAATTGTTGTTTGCAATTATATAAACATTTACATAATGTTTTAATATGGAATTGTTGTTAATACAAGATAGTTAGGCTTTAAGAATTTACAGGTAAAAGAAAGTTAGCTGTTTCTCCTCTGTAAATGCAGATGTAATTTCAAAATTTAGTGAGAAATGAAATGAAATGAGAATATGAATAGATAGTAGATGTAATGTAAAATAATTTTTTCACTCTGCAGATATAAAATCACTGAACAGACTCTTCTACCGGCTCCAGTTAGACCAACACTGACGCTTCATGTGTTTGATTCTATGCAAACTCAGTGACCTTCCTTGTTACTCAGCTATAAAAACTTCAGATCAGACTGTCAGTGGAGTTCACAGCTCGTCAGCTTCACCATAAACCATGTTTTCTGTAGCTCTGCTGCTGCTGTTGGCAGCTGGATCCTGTGAGTCTCTCTGGATTTGTCATAGTCAACATTTCTTCTCTTGCTGTAGAACTTGATCATTTATAACAAAACATTTTCTTTTTTAACAGGTGTGAAGTGTGAACAGTTGACACAGCCAGCCTCTGTGACTGTGCAGCCAGGTCAACGTCTCACCATCACCTGTCAGGTCTCTTATTCTGTTAGTGACTACTACACAGGTTGGATCAGACAGCCTGCAGGGAAAGGACTGGAGTGGATTGGAAGCGAACGTGTTGGGGGAAACAAATACTACAAAGATTCACTAAAGAACAAGTTCAGTATGGACTTAGACTCTTCCAACAACAGAGCGACTCTAAATGGACAGAATGTGCAGCCTGAAGACACTGCTGTGTATTACTGTGCCAGAGACACACAATAACACAAACCATCAGTAGACCTGAACAAAAACCCCTCAGTGCCTGAACACTTGTAACATGAAGCCACCAGAGGAGGAGCCCTCAGACCACTAATGATTTCACACCAGTTCACAGTTGAAGAGAAAAACTGTCTTTGAATGTAATTTGTTCTGAAAAATTAGAAATGAAATAAAAGTGTCTTAATTCTAATGATAACATTCAGGGAAGTTTCAGGGAAGTTTGATGATTTCTGATTAATGCCAGATTCATAACTTATTCAATCTGTGAGAACATTTACAAAATTCAGAAAACACATTTTTCTCCATGATATTTTATCCCACATTGACAGACATCATTTGCATGATATGATTCAATGAAATCAGTAAAAAACTTCTTGCACACAAGCTCCTCCCTCCTCATGATGTCCTGATGCAAATCCTCAGTGTGTGTAGTGTACTTGTGTCCTGCTGACTGGTCTTGTAGTTTGTGTGCAGCATCAGAGGTCACATCTCCAGACTCAGGATGAT